TTCATTCAGTGATATTTCATTTATTTTAACAAACAATGTCAGTTTTCAGCGCCATGTGAAAGATTTTAGAATCTCACAATAAACGTATAAACAAGCATTGTTTTATTGGAATCAAAATTATTTTTTTAATTAAAATTAGAATAGTCGCGATCGGTTTCCATTCGTTATGCTTATTGTTTGAATATGAAATGTCCTTATTGTACATAGCAATGAATGCGCGACTATTTTTTTCCGCTGCTAATATATTTAGCGATACATTGTTTGGAAGAAATTTCTTTTTTAAGCTAATTATCAAAAAGCAAACGCTGTGCTTCACATAAGCATTCAATGCAAATTTGTAAATTTGAATATGTTTTAGAAAGAAATTACATATCAATATGGATTACATTTACTTAATCCTTCTCTTCTTCCAGTTCCGGACCACAGTAAGTTCATTAAAAGTTCATTAAAGAAAATTATTTCTAAAACTTTTTTTTTTCTAAAACTTTAATTTCTAAAAAAAATTTAGGTGAGATGGATATACAAACAAAACAAACAGAGCTATTAGATTTATCGATGCCAAAAGTGAATGAGAAAGGAACAGAACCAGAGAATTCATTAATTAGAGATCGGAAAATATCGTTGAATTCACGAATCCAACGAGCATATGTTGGAAAAAATCACAGTGTCACGTTTGTCAAAAAATGATATTTCATTTGGGCAAGACATATGAGGACTCATACCGGTGAAAAGCCGTACAGTTGTTGGCGATGCGGAAAAAATTTCACTACATCATGGCAACTGAGTGAACATGATAAGTCTCATACTGGTGAAAAACTATATGTTTGTTTCGAACGCGGAAAAAATTTCACGCCATTAATCAATCTGAGAGCTCATGAGATGATTCATAAGAATAAAAAGCCGCACAAATGTTCAATATGCAGGAAAAGTTTCCGTCGAAAATCGGATATGGACATACATGTAAGGATTCATACACATGAAAAGCCCTATAGATATTCGAAATGCTGAAGGAGTTTCTCTGTAGCATCGAATATGAGGAGACATTTGAGGACTGATTCCGATGAAAGTTCGAGACACAACGAAAATTCCTCTGATTTATCATATTCGAAAGGTCACAAGAGAACTCATTCCGGTAAAGAATCGGGCAGTTCGAGCGAAAGTTCCTCTGATTTGTCACATCTGAGAGGTCACGGTGGAAAGCCTTACAGTTGTTTGGAATGCGAGAGACGTTTCGCTCTGCCATATCTTTTGAAAGCTCATGTAATGATGGATCATAGCAGTGAAAAGCCGTAAAAATTTCAATATACGAGAAAGCTTTCCCGAACAAATTGAATTGTATACAAAAGTAATATATTTTGAAATTACACGTCAAGAAATTTAAAAAAAAAGAAACAACAAACGCGTTTTAAATGAAATACGCGTTGTTGTTTTTTGGTGCTGTAGATTGTTTCTGTATTATATCAATTAAATTCTTGCAATTTAATTATTCCTTTTTAATTTTTATCACTTATCGCTGTTGGTTACTTATTTCATTCTCACACTGTTTCTCATGTTTAATTTCAATGATTAAAATTCTCTGCAATGTATTAACTCGAATACTTATTTAACAAGCAGCCTTTGTTTTATTAATTGTAAACAGGTTTCGCTGAATAAAAACTCTGGACATATTTGGCACTAACAATGAATGTTCAACAATTTCATTTTTGGGAAATTGGAAATGGCGAAATAGCAATATTTCAATGTTAAAGTCGCTGTTAAGCACCAAATTTCAATACGAGTTTAAATGATAACTCATCAGATAAACCATTTTAGCTAGTAGTGTTCGACTTCTTTCACCGCCAAGAACTTTCATACTCCGCCTGTGTAAACAATTGAAATTTCTTATAAAACTGAACGGAAATTGAGGAAATTTGAACTTAATCATCGATTGTACTAATAGAAGAATCAAACCATCTTTGCAAACATCAGACAAATATTAATGACATAAAAAGTCATTATTGAATAGTGATAATGCAAGTATTAAAAATTCTTTTTTCATATTTTAATTGATAAAATTTCTTTAATCACCATAAAAGTGATCTCAAATCAAATCCTTTGCCATTTCTACCAACGATAAATGATGGAAATAATGAAATAATGAAAATTATGTAAAAGTCAATAATGAAAAAGTCAGTATAAAGTAATATCATTTATGAAATTATAAATTATTATTTGTAATTGCTTTGATGATTTTTTTTGTCATCTGACAGAACTTATTTCTTCCAAACGGACGAGTGCATTTTCGAGTAATGAAATTAGTAGTATGAATTTTGCTACCAATCGGTTTTGTTTTTAAAATCAGAGTATAATTTTGCTTTCTGGAATGTTTTGAAATATATATTTATGGAAGTTATTTATTTTCGTTTCCA